GGAGGTCCCTCCCAGCTCAAACCATCCCAGGACAAGGCTGCAGAGGTGCTGAAAGGCCTTGGTGAGGCTGGGAGCCCGCTGGCATTGGGAAATGTTCCCAAAATTCCCACTCCTGTCCCAAGGAAGGGCTGGGAGCACACGAGACAAGCCCGGGTTTAACTCCCAGCTGAATTTTGTTGTGGCTCGCTGTGCTCGGACTGCAGCAGCTTCAGCGGCCACTGGAGGGAGGGAAAAGCCAGGAACACTCCAGGAAAATCAGGATTTTCCCCAGCCTGGGCAGGGGTGGGCAGCTGTGCTTGAGGGGAGCTGAACGTGGGACTCTTCCAGCAGCTCCCGAAGCTCCACGAGGGTGGGCCTGGATTTTGGGATTGCTCCTCCACAGAGGGCAGCAAGGCCAAAAAACCCTCTGAAAACTCCACAGTGAACCTAAATGTTGTTACCAAGCCACGCTGAGCTTATCAAAACCACCCCTCAGAGCAGCTCCCAAAGCTCCACCTGGCTTTTATGGTGCCGTGGGGAAAAGGAGGGCACGGAAGACAGGACAGCCCCTACAAAGGTGGGAACCCATCCCTGAATCCTCAGGATGTTCCTGTTTGTAGGGACTGCAAAGGTTCCCAGCATTTGGGATTAGGAAGTTCAGGGGGAAAGCAGAAATGAGGTGAGAGGGAACAAACACTCCTGGAAAAAATTTGTATTCCCTATCACTGGCTCTTGTGGTTTTGATGTGGAATTTGGTTGGATGCAGAGCTGCCAGGAACTGGGAGCAGTGACATCACAGAAATCATTGCTAAGATTCAGGATGAATTGTTTAAATACAGGCTAAGGGAGAAGCCCAGAAACAAGAACATTTTTTAAAAGTAATACAATCTAAAAAAGCAACAAGTTCTAAAAAGAAGAACTGCTGCTTCAGAGGAACCTGCTTTGACCTTTCCCACCCATATTTGTGCCAAGCACCTCAAAGCAGCACTGCTGGAGCAAGAACAGCTCTTCTCTTTCTTCCAAAATGTGCCACACTTGACAAACTTGGAGCTTTGAGAATGTGGCAAAAGTCACAGAATTACAGAATTACAATTCAGAGTGACCAGGTTGGAACAGACCCTGGAGATCATCGAGTCCAACCCAGCCCCAGCACCTCAGCTGAGCCCTGGCACCCAGAGCCACATCCAGGCTTTCTTAAACACACCCTGGGATGGGGACCCACCACCTCCCTGGGCAGAACATTCCAGAACTTTATCAGGGATCCAGGGATGGGGACTCCATTCCAGAACTTTATAATCCTTTCTGTAAATAACTTTTCCCTAATATCCAGCCTGTATTTCCCTTGAGGCTGTGTCCTCTGGTTCTGTCAGTTCCTGGAGACAGAGCCCAGCCCCACCTGAGCACAGCCACCTTTCGGGAGTTGTAGATAAGGGCACCCCTGAGTCTCCTTTTCTCCTCAATCTGGGCTGGATTTGGACGAGCTGGAGAACAAACCAGCAGGAAAACGCAAGAAAACTTTGCACCTGAATATCTCTGTGCCATGCTGTGGGAATCCAGGGCTTCCCTCTGGCTGCCCTGGGACCCTGGCAGGGGTCAGGAACCCCCCTGGACAGAGCCCCCAGAGACACTGGCTGTGATCTCTGGCCATGGAAAAGAGTTTTCAATCCTACAGCATGAATTACAAGCTCTCAGTGTTTGATATCAGTAATAATTAAGTGTGGCACAGGTGCAAAAGTAAAATTTTAGGATTCTAGATGAGGGGTCCAAAGGGGACAAGATGGAGGAAATTGGGTGTGCCTTGTCCTTTTTCTCCTTCTTCATGCCCTCCATGTTTCACTGTGGTGTCGGCATTTTTCTGTTGGTTCAGGCTGGGGACACACTGTCCAACGTAGGTGACAGATATTGGCACGTTATTGTAAATCCAGCCCAGGGAGTTTCTGGTATTTAATGTTTGTCACATCCCGCTGAGGGCAGAGCCCCACACGCTGCCCTGCAGGACAGAGCTGGGCAGGGCAGCAGAACATGTGACAGATAAACAGAATAAACAACCTGGAAACCAGCACAGACCAATTATGGCTTCTGCTTTGGCAGCGGGGCTGACAGAGACTTTCTACAATTTTAGGATCATCAATAGCACAGATTCCAACACCATGCCCTCTGCCTGGTACCCCCAGAGGCGCCCCGGCCGTGTGTGTGTGACATTCCAGGCTGGCAGCTTTCCCCCTGTGCCGCTTCCCAAGGAGTTCATCCCGCTGGGGCTCACCTTTGCCGTTGATTTTGATCTTCATGGGGATCTGCCGGGCCACGCTGAACAGGTTGCGCTGCAGCGCCTGCTGCACCAGCCGCTGCTCCTCCTCCGACACGCGCGGCGCCTTCTTCTCGGGCGGCTCTCCTGCCTCCAGCCTCTCCCTCAGCTGCTCCAGCGTGGCCGCCCTGGCCTGCTGCCCGCCCAGCGCCACGGGCACGGCCAGGCGGCCGGGCACGGCCACGCCGAGGGGCACGGCGCCGTCACCTGGGCGGGGAGAGGCGGCTGAGCCGGGGCACGCTGCCAGCGGCACCGCCGCGGGCGGCCCCACCTTCCCACCGCCGCGCTGACCTTTCCTGAGGGCGGGCGAGGCGCGGGGGCTGCCGGCGGCGATGATGGGGAAGCGGATTTTGGGGGGGGACAGCAGGGACGGGGGCGCCGGTGTGGAGGGCGAGTAGCTGAAGAGGGAGGAGCTGTAGCTGGGCCGCCGGCCCTCGCGCCGGTTGCCGTCGATGGCGGCCTGCAGCTCGGCCGGGGAGCTCAGGGACTTCTTCTCGCACTCGTAGGCGTAGAGGTACTTCATGTACCTGTGGAGAGACATGGACAGTCAGGCAGGCGGCACGGGCACTGGGATGCTCGTCCCGAGGGGCTCGGGACTCCGGGGGCACAGCCCCGCCTGGGTTCGCTCGGTGTTTGGAGGGAAATGTGCCATGAGATATTCCCAATCTCACACGGCAGGGAAGAGTCAGCCAGAACTCCTTCACAATGGGAGAATCCTCTGAGGATCATCCTCACAATGGAAATACTGACTGTAAATCATCCAAAATTCCATCAGAACTGAAATATCGTCTATAAGTAATCCAGAATTCCCTTACAACTGGAACGTCCTCTAAGGATCATCCAGAATTCCCTCACAACGGAAATATCATTGATAAGTCATCCAAAATTCCCTCACAACTGAAATATTGTCTATAAGTAATCCAGAATTCCCTTACAACTGGAACGTCCTCTAAG